GTAGCTTCAGCCATGGATGAAAGACCTTTGAGGACATCACAGTTTGTGACCGATAGGTTATATCTTAAAAATATGAACTCTAAGGCTGCTTCACAAGGGTAGAGCTTTTCATTTCCAAGACCAACAACTTTCATGAGGTCTCATCTGCAGGGAAACAATGCTCATTGATAGCTTAATGCCAGCTGTAATAAAGCCTCATTGATTTTTGCTTTGCAGGACGTTCAGTATCTAGCATTAGCACCAAAGCTGCCCTTTTTGCTCAGGGAGCGACTTTTCTGAGTTGGTCAAGTGAAGAACATTTCAGGTCCTTAGACACCTATTAACTGTGCAGATAGTTCACTGCTTCTCGCCACAACACCCTTTCTCTACTCCGTATTTTTAGCTCATTGTTTTCTATTTTGGCAGCTGAGAAACTGCACTTGGTAATTTTACCTCCAGCTTCATATTTCTTCTTAAAAGTGAATACAATGTCCTGTTTATAATAATAAAAATCGCTAGTTGGCAGGATGACATCAAATGGAAAAAAAGAGAAAGCAACTGGAAAATTGAGAGCAAGCAATTTTGAGTGCCAAGTTTCACATTTGTAATGGTCCAGAGGAGGTCACTGGGCTCACTTGTGAGGCGAATGGTAAAGAAATAGATCTCCTCGAGTTCTTCTATGTTAGACTATATAAACCATCTCGACTCGACCCAGGTTTAGTGCCTTCCAAAAGAGTGACGTTAGACATTTTCCACAGTAACACCAACAATGGGAGACATGCAAAAGGCAAAATTGCTTTGCAAAGAACGGCCTTTTTTCTCTCTCCAATATTTAGGTTTTTGTTTCCCACTATGATTGGACTTTCCTGGCTTTAGTTTCTTGTCCCAGTTTAGCCGTAAAGGAAACAAAAAGATATGAATGAAATTAGAAACATTTGGAACAAGCCTTAGAAATAGCTTTTGGGTTTCTTAAAGTTCTGGCTAAACCTCTTCAAACCGTTTCCCTCCTGTGACCCCCCAGGGCCCCTCACCTACCCCTGAAATCTGCATTTCCTTTTTTGCCATGACCTCCTCCTCTCTTCTAGTGAGGTTTTGTACGGCACCATTGAAACACTCAGTACAAAGCAAACAAGGAAATGAGAAGTACGGGTCGAAGCCCTAGAAAAAGCCAGAAAATGGCTAAATGTGTGAGAACTTGCCTCTGCTACACCATTCCTCCGGTTGCTTTGTGTTACTTTGAAACCGTAAATGGAGTATTCCTCTTCTGCAACTATTTTCCCCATTTAATTAAGAAATATTCGTTCTAATCAATTTGAGTTTAAAAAAAACAGTGGGAATGTGGGTCCTATTTATGTCATGACATTGAAATGCTACGGAGCAGACCTTCCATCAATTATGTCCAACTTTCTGTAGAGAACGCCTGCTTTCAGTTCACGGTGACAACACTTAACATTTATCTTGCACTTTTCATTACAGGGCCTCCATGTTCTTTGCAAACAAGCTCAGCGCTTCTATGAAATATTTGTCTCATTTTACAAATAGATAAAAGGAAGTAAAGCGAGGTCAAGAGCTTGCCCAAGATCATACCATAATCAACAGCGGGGCAGGAACTAAAACTGAGAGCAGCAGGGACTGTTTATAACTGGCTACGGGTTTTATGCATTAGAAACTATGAAAGTATTTTTAAAACCTTCTCTTTTTGGTTTTTAATAACATTACCAGAAGATTTTATTTTTACTTCTTGAAGCAACTACCTGCAAGGTCTATTGATAGTGCAGAAAAGCCAGTCCAGCAAGCATGGCAAGAGGGCACACGCCTTTTTAAAAAAAAAAAAAAAAAAAAAAAAAGGAATGAAAGACCAGAGAGAAAACAATTTGGGAAATGCATTTACAAAACGATAGGAACAAACAAAATAATTCCCTTACACTGATTAACATTAGCATCCACCATGAATGCTTCAGACATACTTTCCATTTTGTCCTAAAACGACATTCAGTCCCAACAAACTCTTTCTTTTAAGAGTTCTCCATCGGGAACTGCAAAGGATTGCAAAGATTTGCTGAAACAGTGAAGTGATGTCTGTGATGAGATTATTCCCAATGAGAACAGAACAAAGATGCGTTTAGAAACCAGTCTTTTCTCGTTTGCTAGAAAATTAGCTTCCGAAGGAGGGGGAAGACGATAAGGTTCAATACGTGAAGAGCCTAACACTTCCCACGCCGATGCAGTCAGCCGTGTTAGAAGTCAAGCTGTCGTCTGCCTCCTGCCCAGCGCTCGACAGAGAAGTACTCGGCACCACTCAGCTGGGTAGTCGAGCAGTAGTCAAGTAACTGCACTCAGCTTCCACGCTAAGCTGCATAAGTGAGAAGTTAGCCAGAGGAAGCTAGAACGGGTATCATTTAACAACTTTATCTGTGATTTATAACAGCATAGCTGACCCAGAGACTCCACAGACCTGTCTCACCGCCAGTGCTGACAACATGCTATCACAGAGCTGACAGCACGGCCCAATCCTTTCTGGCTACCACCCCACTTACACCAAAACTCAGCCCTCGTAAGTATATCTCTGCAGACCCCAGGACCCCACTTGTAAATCCAATCTCATATGGGATCCTGACCCCTACTTCGGGAACTCCTGGTTTAGAACGGGTTTTAAAATGAACTGTAAGAGGGCTCTAGTTACAACTGGTCGGGCACACAATGCATAAAGTGCATTGGCATGAGCCTTTTTTCAAAGGGGTTTTCAGATGGCTCTTTCTGTAGCTCGGATGAATCCTTATAGCACTGCAGAAGCTCCAGGCAGACGATGTAACCATGTACACATGGTTGGTGATGTCTGACGCATGCCAAGAGACCCATCAGGTACCTGCATCGCACTGACAGTCTGCAGTACGATATACTCCGGACAGGTGACACCGATGCGGCACTTTCAGCGCTGGCCCAGTGTCGGGCACTCAACGAACAGCCACAGGGGGTGACACATTACAGCTCCAGAATAAAAAATGCCTGGATTGACCACTGCGCAGCTCAACATTGGGCCTTTGAGAGAGCAGGAAAGGTGAATGAAGAAGGTAGGTGGAGAAAGTGTCACTTAGCTATGTCTCACATCACTTATCTGAGTAAAAAATATCTTCTTTTGCAGTTTGCAAACCTCTCACTTGGACGTTGTGACAAAGCACATTAATACCGTGTTTCGCCTCCATGCCCAGATGCAGAAGTTTCATGCTACCTTCATGCGTGTTTAGACAAGAGACTGATAAGTAGCAACAATGGCAGTTGATATTGAAAGTCTGAACACATGAAGATGAAATAGTTATCTTGGAAACCCTTAAGAGGAAAGTTGTATATTTGAGAGGACAGGTGGAAACAGGTGGACTCACCATCACCGAGAAGGGAGAGAGGAGGATTTAAATGACGTAACTTCAACAAACGTGACTGAACACCTTGACAATTCTCCATGTAAAATTCAGTCTGAAAAATCGAGAAATGCACTTGGAGTGGGTTTCCAAGAATGACTGTGTAACTGGAGGTGAGTCAAGTTCCTCATCTCATAACAGCACTGCTGCTTAGGCAGAAGGAAAGCAGGGAAAGGCTTCTGAAGCAGAGCTGAGTGGCCAAAAATAAGATAATTCAAGTGACATCTGCCCTGGACGCATGCGTTTCTGGTGGAGCCAGACATCTTGTATCATTTTTTAAATCATTCCTGATCTGAAATCCAGTGTCCGAATGTTGACGCCAGCCAATAAAAGGTCCAGTTCTCTACGGCATGTCACCACTTTGTGGCAGTGCAATGCCGCTGACTTCACTAGCCACACGCCAGCATTGGAGCAGGGAATTGGGTCCAATACTTCTTTGCATCTAGAATGCCACGCTCTGGAGCTGGGGTGGAAACCTTTGGTAGCTCTGGCAGTAATGCATGAAATGATTGCCTGCTTCCTGCCAAGATCACAGAGAGCTTCACAGGCATAACTTAAGCCTCCCGAGCCTTCTGCAAGGTAGGGAAATAGCATCCATTTCACACAGGGAAAAGCCACATGGAGAAAAAGCTGTTGAACAACTGGCTGCAAAAACCTTAGGGAGCGGATGGCAGTCAGGAACAGCACCCAAATGTGACTCCAGCTGCTTCATCACCTTCCCCTGCCACCTTTGCCCAGAGACCCAAGTCTTGGCCTTTCACCTGTACAATCCAGACACTCAATGCTACGTACCCTCTTAACACATTACATGACCCTTACAGGGAACTACACAGATAAAACAAGAGGGATGGCCTTGCTGTTGGATACACACACGTGTTCACACCGGCACAGTTAATGGATAGATCTCTTTCTCAAGGGGCATGCAAATACTGCATCTTCACCACGATAAACAGGGAAGTTCATTGTATAAAACTCACAATGTCCAGTGCCCTGAGATGCAACAGCAATTGCCAACTCCTCAAAACCCTGCAAAACTCAAACCGCCTGGACAGGACGCGGGACATCCTCTGCCTGCCCAAGCCCCAATGTAACAAATCAGAAAACCCAAGCCATATTTAGACATGTTCAGCCCTGCAGAGCACATCCACGTTAACACAGATCTTTACGGTGAACCCTGAATTATCAGCACCAGTAAAAAAGAGGACTTTCTGGGTCTTCAAAACAAATCCTTGCATCAACAGACAGTCTCAGGAAAACTACAGCTGGAGTATTTGCAAGGTTCTAGGCAAAAACAGCTCTCAAACTTGATTCCACTTTTAAATTTTTGTACCGGAGCCTTCATTTTTTGTCTTCGAAGGGATTATTGAAGACAACGTTCATTACCATACAACATGCTCCCCCAGGTGGATTTTTTTTATTTGTTTTTTGTTTTTTAAGGGGAGGGCTACTTGCCTAGCTAACAAGGTAGAACCAAGAAAAGTAACCATTACGGTACTACCTGTTAATAATGTGATGAAACACGTGGTGCCTGTGAAGCAAAACACCCCCCCCCCATACAGCAACACAAGAACGAGCTGGACACCAAGAAAGGTTTTTGCTTATTACCTTAGATCCCTCCTGTTGGCCAGCTCTTCTGGCGGGATGACCCAAGGCAGGCGTTGGGGAAGGCACGCGAGAACTTCTTGGGGAAAGTCAGAAAAATCCACGCCGTATTCTGTGAGGATCCCTTCTGTTTCTGGTTCAATCTCGCCAGCCTGACCCAGACTTTTGGTCATCTGCCTGTGGAAAGCAAGCACAAGGGGTAAAGCTTTTTTTTCAGTGCGACATTAAGACGGTTGACTTGCCGACTGAACTCCTATAGAGGCCTGATGCATCTGCGATTGAGCCATCGAGAGCAAGCACATTTTTCCCCCTTCACTTTTCCTCCCTGAGTGTTGGCATAGGGCTTTGAAGGGAGCGGGACAAAGCCACTAGTTATGTCAGCGGAGGAAGATGTGAAGCACGAGCCAGACTCTATGCCACTGCTATTTTCCATGTCTCGCTTTAAGGAGACCGTTTGAGCATCACGAGAGTATCCAGTTACAGGAAACAGAAAAGCCGCAGTAGCGATGTCCGGTGGTTAAGAGCTCTGTGCTTCTAGCACAAGTCCTATAAATCACCGGCTCTCGACCTCTCTTACGCAGGTGACATCTGTGCCATCACCAAGACGCAAGCCCTGACTACTTGCTCCTGTTCATCATGCGCCACTTGCCAAGAAGTGTCATGCTGTCGTTAAGGGAAGCTCTGAGGATCTCGGTGTTGGACAGGCTCCTGGAGCTGTGCTAGGCGTGCCCCCCACGGTTCTCGCAGCAAACGCCCAACATTTATCCACCACGTGAAGAACGTGGACAGGGAGCGAGTGGGCAGGGCCCATTCCTCAGCAACCATCTCAGGATCCCCACGGAGGTGGCAGATGTACCCCGGGGACGCTGTGCCACAACAGACAAGTTTCAGGACCGTCCCCAACTCCTCCAGCCATCAGAAAGTGGTCTCGCCATTCAGGACCTTTCGTAGCTCAGCTTCTCTGCCTGAAGGCACTTTCCAAAGAGCCAAGCAAAGGGCATTGCACACTCCAGTGCAGCACTGCAATGCCGTAGCTAGCTCTGCGTGAGCTGGTGCAGGTACCAGAAGCAGTCTAGCCTGGGCAGCACAGGACTTCACATGCTCCTCTGCCCAAATATCCTCTCCTCTCTTACCAGAGCAGCATACTGCACCTCAGCATCAAGCAAGTGAACTGTTTCCAGCCATTTTCCAGACTTTTTCAAGGACTGAGGGCCCCCACGTGGTGCTGCTGGCTGGTATCAGCTTTTCCTGCCGGAAAGGGGCCGGGGGCTCTGGCTGTGGATGGAGGCAGCATTGGGTCACACATCTAATCATCTTTGAAGAGCAGCTCTGCAAATGCTTGCGGGAGGCTGCTTGTCTATTATGCCTACAAACCACTTCCATCTGCTCCACTGCAACTCGCACCAAATGTTATGCCCAAAGCCTCTGGTGTCGACCGCGTTTCCATTTCTAAGGGGCAAAAATGACCTGAAAATTGCGATTCTGCATAAACAGGGAGAGACTCCTTTCCCTATGGGACGAGGGAAGTAGTACTAGAAACTGGAATCTCTGTGGACGAACCTTTCTTTACCTGCTGTGTGAGGAAGGTCAGGATTTTATTATTAGCATAGCGCCGCTATTATGAACGGCACCACATAAAGCAAAGGGGACCAGGGCTCCTGACCCCAAGGAAATGAGAATCTAAATTTAGAAAAATTCATCAAAGTATGCTAGTCCGGAGAGGAGGAGGATACAGCCTCCACAATAAAGGTTTCAGCAACGTGTGAAATACAATAACATAATACTCACCCTTTTGTCGTAATGTTAATGACTGAGAACTGGCACTAATTACTTTCCTGGTACAGGGCAAAAAAGGGTACTTTTCATTCCGACATGCAGGATGCTCTCGGTGTTTCTAATGCACCATAAACTTCCATAACAAACTCCATTTGCATGGTGCACAGAAGCTCATCTTCTTTATGAGAAGAAACGTTATCGCTCCCCACGATAGGGAGGGCAGTGTCATAAACCTGTCAGATGGGGTGATATGCTGCAAAGGATTGTGCACTTTGCTCTGAGTTGAATGGTAGTTTGCCTTCCCCGGCTTTAAAATAAGAATAAAACGAGTGATAAAAGATCCTGCCCTTGATTGTTTCAATTTTATGGACAATTGTGGCAAAGAAACATGCCTGGCTTTGGCATCTAGCCATGGTTCTCAGTGCTGCCACCTCTATCCTAATCTGATCCTTGTTTTAAATGCAAGTAAACAAGACAACACTTGTATATCTTCTTTTCACTTGCTCAGAGCAGCAGCAACGAAACGCAGACCCGTCAAGTGTCCAGCTGCAGACGTGGACAGGCTTGGCCTGGGAGAAGTGACGGGCAGGGACAGCACGGCAGCAGCTGAAACTTGGGCCTTGGTCCCTGCAGTGAGCCCCATAAAGGGCAAGGAAGGAGCATCTGGTCTCCCCACCACGCTTTGTGGGCAGAAGAACGGATCTAGGAGGTAAGGGAGAAATGGGGGGATTTGAGGGTGACCCTTTTCGACTTCCCCATCGCCGACACCAAGGAACTGATGGTCTCCTTTTCAAGCTCCCATTAATCCCAGCCAGAGCTGCAAGCGTTGCTCACCCTCTAGAAGATAACAGACTTCTAGCATCTCTTGAAGGCAGCATTACAAGTCAGGGAAACCACCTTTCCATGCCAGAACGTTTTCCCCGAGTGGATTCTGTAACTCATGTGCTCTTGAGCCGTGTACTGAAATGAGGTTATGACCCATACAGAATGAGCAGCATTTGATTACTTAAGAGTTTTGACATAAGGACTAAGATTAACATTTGATTGACGATATTCAAGGGAATATTTCTCAAGTACCTGGAAAGAAAATAAAGGGCTTGCAACCAACTTTAATCGGGGCCACGTTACAGTCACACAGACGCGACGGCTTGCATCAGAGCTAAATCCGACAGGACGGCACGTGATCAAAGTTCAGGCGTACAGGATAAGAGATGGGTCTAGAGGGAAAGCCAGGCTGTAAATCCACTCCGGGGGCTCCCATGCCATACGGGGCAGCAAGACAAGCTTCCAAACAACAAGTGTCATGTGGGCTGGCGGCAGCCCAGCATTTCCAGCCCAGCTCCTCTGCTTGCAGCGTGCACTGCCCTTGCTTGGATTTTTAAAAAATTTTCAAAGTTAAAATTTTTGAACCGTTGGAGATTTAACGTTTCCTTCTGGTGACGTCAATGGCAGGGCGTTACAGCTCCCTGAGGACGTCTCGAATACCCATCTACTGACGTCAGGGACAGAGGCAACATCCTGTCGTGGAAGAGAGGGGATAAGGCTCCTGCTGAGGCGGGAAGTTTGGGGGAGCATGTAGCCAAGGTATTACTTGAACGTGGTCCCGTCTACCAGGTACCTCGATACAGCGCTGCAGAGGGGGTGGCGAACAACCTCCACTTGGATTCAGAAGCCGACCCACAAGCAAGTCTCGGTCACAATAATCACGCGTCCTGGGATCCTGATAATGTGCTTCACTAGCTGATATGCCAATACATTCCAGAGATGGTTTACCGTCTTCATAGCTTCATAGTGTTAGCAATGCGATTACTGCTGAGGTGAGCAAGAGCAGCTATTTAACGTGATGCCAGGGTTTAAAGCAGAGAATGGAAGAAAGACACGTGACAAACTGCAACAGGAAGGTAGGTAGGAAGAAACGCTGGGAGACGCTGGCCAGCATCGCTCACGTTGGGCCAACGTATGAAGGCTGCCCCCATGCCATGCTCCCCACTGCCACCCACACGCAGGAGCTCTTTGAAGGTCTCGTTTCCAAAACAGGGACCCAGCCTGAGACGATCCCACCTAATGCAAGACACTGTCTCCAACCTAAAAGGTTCAATGTTGCTGATCTGCTGAACTGAGTCCTAAAGGAAAGCTATGCGTTTTGGAAGGATCGGTTCAAATGAATCCTGTGCTGCTGAGTCGTCTTCCACGCAACTGTTAAACTGCTTCTACCCCAGGGCCATTTCAGAGCGCAGTTCTTACTGGAGGTGCGGCTCTATCAGCAAGGCTGCTCCTTGCACCAACGTAGTGCAAACACTTCAGCAGGAGCAAAACCAGCTATCCAGGGAGGGGGGCAGTGTTCCCGACACAGCTACGACCACAACAGGGTCTCTGGCTAGCATGGCCCTGCTGGTCAGGGACCACAGCTCCTCGTGCCCCTCCTGCCTGGAGTCATCCCATCACTTTCTGTCAATCCACATAAATCTGGATTTAGAAAGTTTAAAAAAAAAGCCAAAATAAAACCCCCAAATCTTGGAACTGCAAGCACTAAGCTGGCTTTGGCAGCAGCTACAAAGAGAAAGGGCAAGGGGCAAGTTCTCACTTGTCATAAATCTCCTGATGAATACCGTCACCGGGACTGAGCGGCACTGAGGACCCCAAGCTGCCGCAGTCATGTAGGCTCCACGTGCCGCCGATCCCAAAGCTAAGGCAGAGGCAGTTGGTAGCTTTACATTTCACTTTGGGGTTGGACTGTTGCTTTAACAGCCCCATCCATCATGCAGGGGGAAGGGAAAGGACCGCTCAGCCCGTCTCTAAAGAGGAAACGCAGCATCAGAAGCCAGGGAACCGACCAGAGGACGTGGAGACGTTTCATGACCCAGGGCACAAGGATGCATCATGACAACAGAACGCCCCCAACCAGATCTACCTCTGGCACTTTCCTGGAGGGAAGATTGGCTTAAAGGCTAGTTTTTTTAACAGTTTCCTAAGAGGGAGAAAATTAAAGGCCATTTCACTGCCATGCCGCGATCCTGTCCTGCGGGAAAGGTCCCTCCTCCTGCCATGCCGTAGGGATTTGTGAGTATCCCAGGGATGTCACCATCTCTGCAGTTGTCCACTTCATGGTGCTGGCTCCTCCTGGTCTCATTTTTCCACTCGGCCTGTTTCAAGCAAAGCAGAAATCCCACACACTCCCCGCAGGACAGCCAGGTCGTGTCCCACCTTCCCCCACCAGGTGGAGCTCGAGTCACAAAAAGAGCCCCCTCCCCAACCGCACACCTCCGAGACGCCGTCGGGTTTTCTCCGGGTGGTTCCCGAACCCTGAATGGCGGGTGGTAGCTCTGTGTCACCTACCGACTTCGTCCAAGGGCACATGGTCACCATCAAGACCAAAGGACCTCCTGGAAACCTCGGTGCGGCGTGTGAAGGACACCATGTCTTGGGGAAGTCTGAGCTTTCCCAATGTAGATGGTTTATTCTGCTCGAGCGCGTTTGGAGATAATGCGGAGAGGTGATAAAGGAGAGTGACATGCCTCTGGGAGCCTGGCAGTGCTTTGTAGACCCTGTGGCATGCAGGCAAGGAGACAGCACCAAACCGATTAAGACGGGAGGCAAACCAGCAGGTGTGCTTTGTGCAGAACGTCAAGCGCAGGCTTTCGGGTTCTGTTTTACTCCACGCCCCACTGAACAGGCCTGATCAGAAAGCTCCCAACTGACCCGGTGGGTAGCTAAACCTGCAAGAGAAGCACAACTCTCCTGAACATAGTCAACAGGACGCAGATTTTCGGCTGAGATCCTGGTAAGATGCATCCCATGTCTTGCACGTGATCATTAATCACAGTTTGCAGAAGCTTCCACGTGCCGCTACGAGCAATAGATTGCTCGGAGATAAAGGAAGACTGCTCTTCTTTTGACATTCGCTTACTTAATAACATTTTGGGATTCAAATGATTGTGTGAAGTCTATGCTATTACCCTCAGGAGAGAGGCCAAGATCCTCAAGCGTTAGGGAAATGAGCCTCTTGATGACTGCAGCTTCATAGCAAGGTTTTTACCTTGTTCTAATAAAGGACGAATTCAGTTTCTAGACATGAAAGGGGAAAAAAGCCGCAAACAAATCAGACTCCGTAATCCTCCACCCATTATTAATAGCTTCAAAACATTTTGCACTTAATAGAGCTATTCATTCAAAGACCTCAAAACAAAAAGATGCCTGTCCCCGTGTAGCAGAGATGGGAAGGGATCCAGGGAGACAAAGAAATGTTTCTCAAAACAACAGAACCAAGTTTGGAGTTGGAAAGGGAACACAGATCTCCTCACCCTGCCCCCTGGCCTAGCAATCAGATGGGAAAGTGCAGAAAGCCAAGAAGGGATGAGCTACCCAGGCCGACTTACCAGATAACACAATCTTATTCTCACCCCACCCCCTGCCCAGAGATCTCCTGCATTCATTTGGCAGTTGCATGCAGCCACCTTTCTTTAACAGCCAGAAAACTAGCATGCCCTTTGTGGCCTCTAAAAGGCTTCAGCACATTTCAGAGTTTAGACAAGTGTATATTGGTAAGTTAAATGCTGAAAGCAGTCCTCAACATTTATGCTACTGGCCTCCCCAGGGCTCTTCCTCAAGTCCCAGCAGAGCCCTAGAGGAAACCACAATGTGTGAAGACAAATCATGGAAAGTTTTTTCAGTTCATTTCCTGACAACACCCTTCACATCTCGGAAACTCCTGGTGTAGCCAAATCAGGCTGCACATTACTGTAGTCAAAAGGGCAGATAAGCGAAGGCCTGATCACTCGATGAAAGAAAACATTAGCTTAGCCTCGCAGCTTCCCCCTGCACTGCAGAGCAGAGCGTGATCCATGAGAACGAGAAGTCGAGTCCTGACCACCCTCCGCTCTCCTCTTTGTTGACAGCAAATAGAAAGACAATGAAAGATTTTCCCCATAAGGGACCAGAGGTAGCATGAACCCTATAGCAGAGGTATACACCACTGAGCTGTGCTATTCAGAAGGAGCCCTCTTGAGTTTGGGTCTTAAATCCCAGCTACAACATATGCAGTGACTTATTCTTTTGGTGCTGGGACTGTTCACCCAACGCTGCCAATGCTGGACATGTGGAGAAGACAATGCGCTAAAAAATGTCCGAGCTTCCCTAGTGCATTTAAATTAAGTCTCTCTAATTTTTCACCGGCAGGTTGGTGTCACCTCTGCTTCAAGGCTGCAAAATCATAGGATTCATTGGAAACGGGGCTGGAAGGGACCTCACAAGGTCAGCTAGTCCAGGCCCCTGCTCAAGGCAAGAGCATCCCTGTCTGTCTGACCTGCTTTTGAAAGTTTCCAAGCATGGAGAAGACATCTCGAGGAAGCCTGTCCCAATGCTTAACCACTCTCAGTCAGAAAGTTCCTCCTCAACTCCAAAGGAAATTCTCTCTGCTGCAACTTGAAGCCGTTGTTCATAGTCCTGTCCCCTACAGTCAAGGAGAAAAGTCTATCTCCATCATCTTTGTAATCACCCTCCAGGTATTTGAAGATTATAAAATCCCCCGTCAGTCTTCTCTTCTCCAGACTAAATAACCTTAGTTTTCAGCCTTTCCCCACAAGGCTGGCCTCCCAGGGCCCTAATCATTTCTGTTGCCCCATGCTGGACTCTTTCCAAATTGCCCACATCTTTCTGAAAGTGCAGGGCCCAAAACTGGACACAGGAATCCAGATGAGCAGAGGGGAAGAAGCACTTCCCTTGATTCCCTGTTCAAAGCAGAGGTGAACACTGATTTCTACTAAACCTTCCTAATAATCACAGGGTGGGAGACTCCTCAGTGCAAAGACCCTGTGTTGTGTACTTGCACAGTGAGTGAACAGGCTGTGGGCATCGCAACAGTTGTACTGCTTGCAAGCAAAGATTACCAATACAAGCTCTGAGGATGCAGCTTGCAAAACCACTCCAACTTTAACCCAGGGTCAAAGTTACAGCCATTTAACAAACCCCTATGGCTATAAGGTCATACAGAAGTCTGACCTAACACTCTAACAGTTGATATCTGGTCCTGAGCAGAAGTTCCCTCTCCTTTTCAGAGAGGCCCAGATATACATTTGTTCATATCCTGCAACACCCAAATGAAGCCCCTGCTTTTGCAGACAAGAGTTCATAGGTTTAACCTCTACTGAGCTACCCTAAGTCCCATGACAGTGACTCCTATTTGGAATAATAATAGGTACACAAGCTGCAGAGGCTGAACCAGGTACCAAACGACGTCAAGCTGAGCACCCAGAAAAGTAACCTCGTTGTTCTCCATTCCTGCCTGTAGCCACATACCCTATTGCAAAGTTGCTGTCTTCCTTCCAATCCACAATGCGGCAGATGAAGAGGGTATTGGAGTAGTCCTCAGGCCTGGTCATGAAGTCGGGAGGGCAGTCTGCCAAGGACACGTAGGCTCTAGGCACTCTGTGGTCCACGGGGGAGAACATGGCACACTTCTTAAAGAGCTCGCTGTTCTTGTCTGCCAGCAGTTTGATGAAGCCTGTCACCGCTCTGGAATGCTTCCTCTCCAAGATATAGACCACCTAGAACAGAAAAAGGATTTCCTCAGCTAACAACTTCAAAGAAATGCATTTCTCCATAAGAGGAGGAAGGCTAGCACAGCGACACCGCAGAGGATCTTGGAGAATCACAGCTTCTAGAGTAGGTTACCTAGGGTTGGGGTTCGTATGCATACCCTAAACACAAAGTACTCATTTAGAAAGCATATTCTTAGGCCAAACAATGCTTGCCATCTTGCTCACGGCTATGGTGGGGCTGAGTGCCTTCCAAGTGCTAGCTCTCTCAGAAAGTTTTCTTGATTACAGAACAAAACCAGACAAGAAGCTCGTGCTTCCAAGTGCAGAACACTAGCCACATGTACAAGCAAGTTCTGTAAAAAATCTTTCACTTGTACACTTCGCTGCAAAGACTGTGCTTCCAACATCCAGGGCAGAGCAGGCCAGTCCAAAAACAGTGCCTCTGGTAGATCCAATGTTGACCACAGGAGAGGAAAGGATGTGCTGTGGGCAATTTGGCAGAAATTCTCGCTCTGCTTTTCTGAAGCGAAGGGCTATTTTACCTTTACACAAATTGGCTTTGAAAAGAATAATAAATCATATATCATTAAATGATCATTCTGGAGAGGTGTTCATCACTGGAGACTGCATAAATTGCTAGGGAACAGAAACATTATAGCTAATTTGCTAGGCTTATGTAGAACAATCCTTTCCGAAGGGCTCAAAATTCACCTCATTGAAATCCTGATCCAAGGAATGGCTGTACTGGAGACCAGAGGTTGACCCAACCCACTACCCTACCTCTGACAATGGCCAGAACAAGAAAGAGTCAGAAGAACAGGAAAGGGGCAAAAACCCCATGTGCCCCCCAGGCAGTTCTCACCCTGGTCTCAAAAGTCAGAGACTGGCTGAAGCTCTGAAGCCTGAGGTCTGAGAGCGTTTCCAAACACTGTTTTGTCCTTTTAATTATTAATTGGGACAACTCTGGATATTCTGAACTCCATTTCAACAGCCAAACCCCTTTTCTGCATCTTGCTAAATCACTTTGTATAACAAAACCACTTTAAAGGAGGATATATGATAAAAACTGCAAGATGCTAGACTTCCACTGAAGACAGTGAAGAAAATCATACAAAGAGGAATCGGAGCCGACACCTACTCTCAGAAGACCACGTGGAAGCCAACAATAGGACCGTTTCAGCTCCTAGGAGCAGAATAAGGGTACAGTCCTCCTGATACACACACACACACACACACACACACGCTCACAACTGACAGTGCCTTCAGCGTGGAGTTACCTTTGCAGTCCTTTGGAGAAGCCTGTCTGGGAGAAGCCTTGGATCATTCACTTTGGGAAGGTCTTCTGGTTTGGCACCCTGCATGCCACCGCTCTCTGCATCCTTCACTGCATTAGAACAGACATACCCAGTGGTTACTTTACACATTTTTCCAGCTTCAATTTACATTAGTTTTTTCCTGTAAATGAACACAAAGTACAAGTTTAGCCGTAAATGATGGAAGCCAGCCCATCTGAATGGCAAAATACCAAACGCTATTTAATATTTCTCCAGACAGCTAGGAAGCTCTTCAATTATTGTGCATGTTTGTTGAAGAGATTAAAAAAAAATCAATATAAATCCAGTTGTTACAAGCGCATCTCTACCAGTATAGCAAACAAGATGGAGGAACACGCGTTCTATTTATTTCAATGCAACAAGCTGTTTGAATTGCCTGTCGTTTTGTAGTGGGTGTCGTTAACATTATATACGTTGTCCTTTAAGGATTTACATTCATTTAATGTCTAATTAATTCCCTTAAAAATGCTAGTCGAGGTTATAAAATGTATATTTATCTTTGGAACTGAAATCGTATCTTGTAAGCTGACACTCTTTGGCTGTGGACCAGGGTTATTAAAAACCCTTAGGAAAAATAATCACTTATGTATAGCCAATAGCCACTCCTCCCCGCCACCCCCCTTAAAATCCTTCCGTGGTTACCTGGGATGTTTAAGCTAATTTCCAAGCAAATTTTCATGTTGAATTTCAAACTGGCTGCATACACAGGTGTGAAAGTTTCCATTACAGGTAACTGGCACCTGGCCATACTTCTGCTAGTCACAAACGGCTGAACCGATCTTTCAATTGGGTGAGAGGAAGCTTGCATTTAGGTCTTGATATCCCAGGTTAAGAAACAGAAGCAGTTTTGACCAGCCTGGAAGTGAATCTAGAATGGAAACACCTACACACCATTCACTACATGGCCAGAGGAGAATAAACTGGGTTTTTTAGGTAAACTGAATTTCCATGTAGTTATGGCAAATTCCTTGAAGGCAGGATCCTGATGAGAGAACGGTTTCCCAAAAGGACCATCTCACCAGCCATCGGCAAAAAGAAGGTAATTTCCAATGGAGGGAGGCCTCACAGAAGAAATAAGAGATCAAGTAATGTTCTGCAGGACACCATGCTCCAAATACAGACACCAGAGTCTTTAAAGCATCGATACAGGCCAGCATAAGATGCCCATCTGTCCAGCGGGCCTCCCTGCAATGCAAGTTTCTGGTGACATGACGGATGAATCGTGAAGAGCCTCGTACTGGGAAAAGCTGCAGCTGCCAGAAGTGGGGAAGAGTCAGACGGCTCCATGGGACAGAACCCAGACAAGAGCACACATGGTCCAGACAGGACTGCCCCGCCGCCTGCGGCTACCCCCAAGTGCAGCTGCTGCGCGCTGCCATCGAGAGGGCACCGTCACAGATGGGCATATGTTCAGGGATGGTGAGCGAGGCCCTCCAGCAAGATTACACTAGCAGCCATTTGGCCATGACTGCGATCATTAGAATAATAACCCCATTTTTCATATGCTTCTAAATTGTCCGCAAAATTGCCAGTTGGTATGAAGTTCTGCGGGCAGAGGCTTTGCTCAAAGGCAATTTTTCCCCTGCAGAGTTTAAGTAAATCCCTTCAACATTTTATAAGGGAAGGGGAATGCGTGTGCACAGAAGGGTAAAAAAAAATTCCCTCCTCTTTCCCCTTTTATTAAAGTAATCAACCCTCTTTATAATCAGACATGGGCCGGGTGGCACCCTGGAGACTAACTGACGTAGGAGCAGAAGCTTTCCTACAAGGCAGCCTATTTACAAAAGCTTATGCTTCCCTGCACCAGTTAGTCTCTCAGGTGTCACCCTCCCCTGCCTTCTGCTTGACTTCAGACTAACAGGGATAACTACCTCTCTCGACTCAGACAAGCAGAAATCAAACCTGTCATCTAAAGAGCCTTCAGTGGAGGGTAAATCCTTGACGAACCTGCTTGGACAATAAGAGTTAAGCAAGGGGAAAGCGAGGACCTCGTGGTTGTGAAGCCAAGCAACAAGGAGAACAAACAGATGCAACATTTAACTTTCCTGCCAACCAGAGGTCGTATCCAGCAACAATTTGGAAAAGCAAAAAGGCCAAGAAAGCTGTTTTTCAGTGGAAATTATTTGTTTAATTCCTACATGCACGAGGTGATCTTAGCAAAGGTACGCAACAAAGGACATATCCCAACCATTGGTTAATGATCTATATATGGTGCATCACACGGCAATTTTCCTAACCAAAGAATGGGATGACCAAAAATGAAGGAAGTCTGGCAGGTCACAGAGGGCACCTTATAGTAGAGGTGGGCAAAATATGTCCCGCAAGCCAGATCTGGCCCAATAAGCCATTCTGTTCAGCCCGTGGGGCCCCTCCAAAAATCAACTATTACCAGCCTGCATCTGCCCCTCTGAAAGCCAGCAGGAGAAGTGGGCCTTCAGAGCTCACGTGCCATCAGACTGGGCAGGCTCGGTGCCTCCACCTCCATGGGCTCCAGGCACTCCAGCTGGGAGCCTCACATGGAGGCACTGAGCACCATGGCCTGCAACGACAGCTGGTGAGCGGGGAGGGGAGCTCCTGTTTGCAGTGCCAGGGGCAACACATGGTGCCACGGAGCCCACCTGGCCTGATGGCGTGCAGATCGAAAGCCACGGGGAGTCGCACGCCATCGGGCCAGGTGGGCTCTATGCCACCGCATCTGGAGTGCTGGAAGCTGCACATCTAAGCACGGAGCCCGCCTGGCCCGATGGTGCATGCTTCCCACCTGCAGTGTTGGGAGCCCTACATGCTGGCATGGAGCTGGCTCTGTGCCACCACGTGCAGCCCCTGGGACTTGGTGGGAGCTGTGCACTGCTGGGAGGCTCTGCCTGCTGTGGGCCACGAGCACCCCGAGGGCCTGCTACCTGCTGCTGCCACTGGTGGCAAAGGCTTGAACCAATGGGGGCTTGCACCTCTATATACATTATGCAAATGCATGTAAATCAGGACAAAATATTTTTGAAATAATATAAAAATGTTATAGTAGATGTTTGATTTTTAGTGTATGATTTGTTTTTGTTCCAGTTCCAGGATGGCAAACCCCCTTCCCAAAAAGAATACTTGCAGGGGCAAAGGGAGGGACTTCTGGTGGCAAAGGTCAGGGGTGAGGGGGGGCAATTGGGGGGGGGGGGGGGGAGCTCCAGCCAAGGGGCAGGGCTACCCTTGCAGACCTCAATAGCTCACCAAAAGTCATTAAGTGGCCCTCCAGCTGAAACAATTCTCCACCCCTGACTTATAGACTACCTAATCAGAGATCCATAAGCTTTCATAAGCAACAGCTTGCTTCAACTGATGCTCATCAGGTTATAGAGGTCGACCAGCTTGTTGTCTTCCAGATGGGATATCTTAAAGTGCATCTTATCACAGGGATTGATGGGAGTGAGCTTTTGCTCATAGGACACAATCAGCAGGTTGGGACAGAGATTAGGCTGAGGTCTTTGCCAGAGCAACAAATGTGAAGCTTACTTTCCAACAAAAGGCAATGGCCAAAGCCGGCACACTCTAGGAAAGACATGTGCAAGGGCAATTACCAGGGAAGCCCTGTTCTCATGACAGGGCTATTGCTTCGTGAAGCCACTTCCTTTCCACCTCACCTTCCAAACCATATTTCAGAGTCACTTGCATTTTTTCATTTGGTCAAACTGAAATCTACTTTTGCCTCTCACTTGGAAGAAGAAGAGCAGGTGCCTCGTCCTTATAAGACCCCACGCTGAGCACAGACACAAGCAGAACAGAATGACCTACTGGCAGCACAGAAGTGCTCCCAGCCCCTGGGAGTACGCTTTGGGCTGACGTGGCTCAGCTTTCTGCTCTCCTTTTCCTGGGATGAGGGACAGGCAACGTTTCATCCCTGCTGCTGAGCCAAGCACAAGAGTTGGGCAAGTTCTGAAACTCGCTTGGGTTGCTGGTAGAGTTTACCTGCCTCTTCAGCTATGAAGTCAACCAGAGGTCTCTGGCTGACATGAAAAAACACCTTTTGTCTCGGGATACTAGTTATTTTCCAGTTCCAATACCCAGAAAATCCTGAGATTTGCATACAAAGACTTAGTGAGCAGGGAGAAGCTGGAGTCTGTGACCAGACCTCCAACAGAAGGGGTTTGGTCCTCAATCTACTTAATTCTTGTCCACTGTTTCCTTAACAACATCTGTATTTGACAGGCTGTTGTGCCTGGTGGGTTCTCAGAGAGGGTTTGGGAAGGGGGCACTTTCTGCCTCCTTAAAGAAGACACACAAAGAGATTCAGACTTTTTCTGAGAGAGCTACCTAGGGTGGGGCCAAGCCATGAAGCATGGGACCGGACACCCATGTTGTCCATGACAAAGCAGGGATCGGACGCCAGCATAGAGGGCTGCCCAAAAGATGAGAGATGGTCAGGGTGGCAAACCTCTATCTATGCATTTGGGAAGGAGAAATGCAAGCCCTTTGACATGATCCAGGGCCCACGGGGCTGAGCCGTCAGGACCCTGACACTTCTGTACGGGAGACTCCTCCATGGCTGAAACCGGGCGAGAAGCAACAGGAAGATTACAGCTGCCAGGATCCAGGGAGGACCTGGCACCAAATTTTGCTGAATGCAGCTCTGTCGCAGACATCTGAACTGGCACTTCACTCTTCCAAACCCCCCCCTTCGGCCCCCCGAAAGCCAGAGGGGGTCCGTGAGGCCCCAGTGGGAAATGCTGAGAGCGAGGGTGCAGAGGTGAGCACACCGCGTGAGCAGGAGGTTTAGAGAGGCAATTCTCAACAGGAGAGTTCGCTGCTGAAAGGAGGAGGTTTCTGGGCAGGGGAGGTGGGAAGAGGCTCTTTGCCTCATGCCAAACCAAAAATGAATTATTTTGACCCCTTTACTGTAGTGGTTATCCAATGACCATTCAATATTTCCACCCTGTGCAATGACATGTTTTCTGAGAAAGATTTACTATGTTAGCTTGGGCAACACTTCGTGAGCTTATCTTACAGTGAAAACACACTGCAGCAGCTAGGATCCAGTGAGGCTGTATTATAATCCCCTTGTTTT